GAGAGTGGTTTTGCTTGCGGACGTTACGACGGCGGTTTGCAAAACGGGACGGGCCGTTACACCATACTTTACTACAGCGCTGCCGCCGAGTTGCTGACGCAGCCGACCAGGTATGCGATGCCGCCAAGGCCTCAACCGCGCCCCTAGAGACTCCCCAAGGTAGGCCCACACTGCCCCCCTTCACTCAGGACCACATTGTAGGGCTGCGATACCTAGGACGTTTACCGGCAGCATTCGAGCTCGCTCAGGCCCCCCACGGCCCCCGATCGACGTGCCCATGTTTGCAGTATATTTTGGACGTGCACCGTATGCGCGCGTGCAGGCCGATCCCGTCTCTCTTGCATCCATCCCCTCGCTCTCTGACTTTCAGTGGTCATGCCGTCACGCTCGGATGTCAGCGCCTGGATGTGATGGAGTTGCAGGAGACCTCTTGAGGCCCCATCCCATGGTCATAGCTGAATAAGATTATCCACTACCCTTCCTGGCCTTCCTGGCGTCAGAGGCCGGCGAGACACAGTTCGGAGGGCCCCCAGGCAGAGGAACCACCCGCGCGTCGCTGGCGTTGCGGGCGGCCTAAGCGCTGGCCAAGCTCAGAAAGCTGCCGTTTCTGGGCGTCGTCCAGGCTTTTTACAGGGCTATTCGGGAACTCGTGGTGCGCGCCCTTCGCGAAACCGGCCTCGACGACCTTGCCGTAGCAGCGATTGTGCGAGCAGCCGGCCTCCCGCCAGCCGCCATGCATCAACTCGCCGACCGACTCCGACAGCGCCCTGCGGCCCTATCCAGATCCGACGTCGACCCCCGACAATGCCACCAAGCACCTTGGTTCCTTTACGAAGGCTCTGGACAAGCATCGCTGCCGCAACGGTCTTTTTCCCCAGGACAACCACTCGGGGACGCACTATTTGAGATGCAGATGGCCGAATGCATGCAGGACGCGCGTGCGCAGATGCGTGAAGAAGGCCATCCGTACTTTCTACCGCGGGCGGACAGGCCTAGGACCCCAGGAGGACTCATAGCACGAGACAGTGGAGAGCCTCAGGCAAAGGCCCCGCTGATCGGCATCTCATGCGCCGACGATGGCACAGTCATCTTGGCGGTGAATGCCGCGCAGCCATATGATGCTTGGATTCGGTCCCTGGCACTTATGTCGGAGACCCTCGCACGACGCGCGCACTTGTTGAACGTTGGGCTGCCCGAGACAGCAGCGCTCATCATGTGGCGCGAACACGGCACCCAGCAAGCTCGACATGCAGCATGGTGCGAGCATGGCGGGCACATCGCGGGAGCATCGGACACACTCGGGACAGTGATTGCATCTATTGTTCACAATTACATACAGCTGGTTTCAGTGTTCGACGCAGGCACAGCAATGACTCCCGGTATCCGTCATCGTGCTGCCTCTTCCGCATCCTCCCTTCCGAATGTTCCGTCGGCGCGTCTTTGCGACCGACGATCTCTCCCTGCATCATCGACTCGTGCTTGCGGATAGCCTCGTCGTGTCAGGACGACAGTGCAACGCAGGTGCATGGCCTGCGCTTACGCCTGCAGAAGTTAAGCTAGCACGTATAGAGATCATGAAAATATACCGCGCTGCCGCGCGCGTCCGCCTTCAGGAAGAGGCCCCCCGGGTCTCCGACAGGCTGGCACTAGCCCGACTACAGAGGCCCACCCAGGACATCACGCCACGGGCAGCTAGGCTCCGACTCTTGGTGCCCCTGCACCATGCTGGGCCTCAATTGGCCTTCGCTCTTGTGACAGCGGAGTGGAATGCAGCTACTGATGACCAGACGCGACAGCGCACGACCTTGGGCCAGTGGCTCCAGGACCTCACGCGGCTGCGACGAGCGCAAAAACAGTGTCAGTACCTCCCACTCGCAGCCGACGACCTGAAGGCTTGGGGGTCGCTCATTCGACGCAGCCGGCTGGCGTGGACGCGCATCGCACGCATTGGCGTGCGCGCGTGCACGCGGCATCCGAGCAGACGCACGCTGGCGCAACACATTGAGTCTCAACGCCTCGCTGGGGTGCATGCAGCGGGATTGCCCCGCCGCGCGGAACCAGACGAAAGAGGACCACTCGCGCAACCGCCGGCGCTCGCAGCCGCGACACACACATGGAGCGCACGTATTGCGGTGAGGTTTTTGCTCGGCACCGCGCGCTGCGCACGCGCGTGCGCATTGCGCGCGTGCATCGACAGCTCGCGGCGATTGCTCGGGGATGTGCAGGGCACGGCGGGACATGCACGGTGTGCCTATTGAAGTTCAATGTTCGGCCGCATCTTGTCGACCATCTATCCATCGACTCACCTAGATGCCGAGTTGCCGACGTATTTACTAGGGACAACCCTGCCTACCATCTCCAAGACCCACCCCAGACCACCCAGATCGCCAATCACACCAACCACGTATGCGTACCACTCCGACACGCGGCCGCGAGCTATTTCGCAGTGCACATGACGGTTGGGACCAGCTGTTGGATGTGCACCCCATGCCAGTGAGTTGGCGCGCAGAGGCAGTCAGCTCTTTCCTGTGGCCCTCGCTCAGAGCAGCGATGGCCTCCCCCGCGGCAACAACTACAGATTTTCATCAGTGCGAGCACGGTCAAGTAGCACGAGCACCTACACGCACCCTTGCACTGCGCATGGGCACACTGTGCGACATGTTCTGCGAGACACCAGGAAGAGGACGTTGCTCTCGCGGTCGCGGAGCTCATGAGGTGGCCATGGGCTTCGACAGGGCTCGACAAGAGTGGCGTACGGCCAAGAACAACACCTACCCGCCAGCATTGTGCCAGGTGCCAGCGGACGGTATCATGTACGCAGTCAACCACATGCATGCGTCGTGCGAAGACGGGGAGTGGCCTGAGGACATGGGGGAGGAGGAGGAGGAGCTCCGTGGGTCGCTTAGGGCTGTTAACGTAGAACGGGACCCATACCTCGGGACAGGCGAGACCTGAACTTCAGAATTTGCCTTCCCCCGAGCAGGACGGGTCCGAGCGGGCCCGAGCGGCGCAGGTTTCTACCACCTGAGCCAACGGACGCAGAAGTTACACCTGAACCAGGGATCGCTTTCGACCCTGAGGCGACGCCTCGGGGCCCTGGCTCAATAGAGGCTTCCGATGGGCAAGACAATGCAGAAGTTTTAGCCTTCATCGAAGGCATCAGCATGCCGCAGCCGGAGGACACAGAGCCCCCCTGTCCATGCCCCCCCCCTCTTGCGCCTCCCTCCCCCCCGCAGCCAGCCGAGCTCACCGAGGCCATTCGCCAGCGCATTGCAGCCAATCGCGCGCAGGCCAAGGGGCGTCGCAGGCTGCGTCTCGCCAAGAGGATAGCCCCTTGGACGTTGCCGCCCGAACTCGGCATTGGGATTTTTGACCGGGCGCGAAACGAATCAGCTTTGTGGGAGGGGCGGTCGGTCACATTGGGAGCAGGACGGAGGTTTCAGGAGGGAAAGAATCACACAGACACAATTCATCTTCGAACTCTCAGAAAGTAGGAGAAAGTAGGGGAGGTGGGCGGGAAGACAGAAACCCGGAAAGTATGGGAAACTGTGGGGAGTATGTTTATTCGTGTGTATTTATCTGCGTGTCCTGGGCCCCTTTCAGGGTTGGAGCAGCGGCAGCAGATCTGCGCAGCCTGCCGGCCGCGCGCCCCGCCGCCTGCGCGCGGCCGCCGCCCGCCCGTGCACACGTGCGTCGGGTGCCCATCGAGGGAAAGTAAAACGACCGACGATCCTCGAATCTCGGATTTCGCCGTCCTCCTCCTCCTCCTCCTCCTCCTCCTCCTCCTCCTCCTCCTCCTCCTCCTCCTCCTCCTCCTCCCTCCTCCTTCCTCCTCCTCCTCCTCCTCCTCCTCCTCCTCCTCCTCCTCCTCCTCCTCGATCGACCGACGATCCTCGAATCTCGAATCAGGCTTTCGGAGCCGCACGTCGCCAAGTTTCGCCGTTCAGGTCAGCACGCGCCGCGTGCCCCCCCTCCCGGCGCCGCCCGCCCGGCACGCGCCCCCTCCGCCCGGCAGCATCGGGGAGCAGAGGAGCGAAGGAGCCTCGCTGAGACGTTGTGGCGAACATCTTGTCATGCTGTCTGTGTTCCCCGCTGTCCACGCATTTTTTGTCTGGCTGATAGATGCTTCGGTTCGGCGTGCAGGGACGCTTCGCCAACGTCCGGCCAGGGCCGCCCGCGCCGCCATTCTCTTCCTGACCACGGTGGCGAGTCGAAGACGCGCACGTCACCGTTCCTGTTGATTGGCAGGCCCCTGCGGCCTGTAAGATCGCCAGGGGCCTCACACCCAGCCTTTTTGGCATGCCTGCCCGCCATTGAACCTTCGAGGGTTCCATGGCTGTGGAGGTCACTTGGGTGGGTCGGGTCTGACTGCTCGTAACTTGTTCATTTGGTGCCCGTGCAAATGACTTTTATAAGCGCTCTGTTATTTGCAGCGCCGCCTCTACGTGACAGCCAGCTGGTTCAACGCGCGTGCAATCAAAAAATCCTCCCGTCCCTCCCTCCGCTCCTGCGTCCGTCCGTCCCTCCCCTCCATTTCACCTTACCTTCCGTCTTCGAAACTCAGTCCCCCTTCTCTTCCCCTCCCTTCCTTACTCTTCGTCGTGACTCCCTTCGCCACCCCTCCCATGTGTCCATCCCCCCCCCCTTGCTGGCTCAACTTTTCCTTCGGACATGGCCCCGTCCTGAGCCCGTGGGCCTCCCGCGACAGCAGTGCGCCAGGGGCGCCCGTGGGGAGCAGCAGGATGAGCAGCAGCAGGATCAGCAAGAGGAGGCGGAGCAGAGGGATCGGAGACTGCCAGAAAGGCTCGCTGGACAAGTCTGGCTTCGCAAAGACACGCGGCCCCTCCCAGCCCGACCGCAGGCCCCCCAGCGCGACCTGCCGTCGAAATCGCCCTTTTTGCGCCAGACTTTCTCGCCGCTGCCGAAGGGAGGCGGGGGAACGGAGGGCAAGATACCTCCCTCCCCCCACCCTCGCCTCTCTCGGCATGCCATCCCTGGAGGGCTACTCGCCACAATGTGCCGGGTGCTTGCGCGCGTTCAACCCGTTCTTCGCCGTCATGCTGCAGGGCCTCATTTGGGTGGCACCACCCTTTCGTCCTCCTGCCCTCTCCTCTCCCTTCCCATCTCTTCTCCAAGTCGCTCTCACCTCCCCTGCTCTCCACTGCCATTCCTCCTTTGCTGTCTTGTCTACATCCTCTCTCCTCCCGACTCCCTTCTTTCGCCTCTTCTCATGTCGCCTCCCACCTCTCTCCCCTCGCACCCCCCTATCGCCTCTCTTCCCTCATCTCTCCTGTCCTCCCTTCCTCCTATCTTTTCTATGTCTCCCCTCCTCCTACTTCAGATCACACAGTATCAGAGTTTGTGATCCCTTAGAAGACCGCCCCAGGTGACCCAGCCTCACTGGTCGGCGATCTCCCGCACATGGTCACAATCAAGGTGCTGAATAAGGACCGCTTTTGGTTCGGAAGGGGCTCGCTATTCCTTACGTAGATCATTCCGCGGTTGTTCTGCTGGCCCTCTTCGTGCACCTAGGCGCTTCTGGGGCCAAACAGCGGCTTCGTTCCTCATTTAGCTTTCTTCCTGGTAGTACCACGATTGCATTTCACATGTCCAGTTGCGCCGCCGCCCGGACCCGGAGTAGTGAGGAGGGAGTAGTCAGTAGTGAGTAGTGCGTAGAAGAAGTGAGTAGCGAGTAGGGAGTAGTGAGTAGGGAGTAGGGAGTAGTGATTTGTGAGTAGTGAGAAGCGATAAGTGGGTAGTGAGTAGTGGGTAGTGCGTAGGGAGTAGCGAGTACAGAGTAGTGAGTAATGAGCAGTGAGTCGTGTGTAGTGAATTGTGAGTACTGAGTAGTGCGTGGTTAGTAGTGGCGTGTGACTAGTGAGTAGGGAGTAGTGAGGATTGAGTAGCGAGTAGTGCGTAGTGGGTCGCGAATATTGCGTATCGGGTGGCGAGTAGCGAGTAGGGAGTAGCGAGTAGTGAGTAGTGCGTAGTGAGTAGTGAGCAGTGAGTATTGTTTAAGGAGTTGGGAGTAGCGAGTAGCGAGCATCGGATAGTGAGTAATGAGTTGTGGGCAGTGAGTAGTGAGTAGTGATTTGTGAGTAGTCAGTAGTGAGTAGTGGATAGTGGTTGGTGGGTAGTGAGTAGTGACTAATGAGTAGTGAGTAGTGGGTAGTGAGTAGTGTTTAGTGAGTAGTGAATGCTGAGTAGTGGGTAGTGACTAGTGAGTACTGAGTAGTGAGTTGGGAGTAGTGAGTTGTGAGCAGTGAGTAGTGAATAGTGGGTAGTGGGTAGTGAGTAGTGGCTATTGAGTAGTGAGTAGTGAGCAATGAGTTGTGAGAAGTGAGTAGTGCGTAGCGAGTAGTGAGGAGTCGGTAGTGAGTAGTGAATGATGAGTATTGAGTGCTGTTTGGGGCTAAGGTTAGGGTTTGGGGTTAGGGTTACGGGCGGTCGGGTGAGTAGTCTTAGGGGTGGTAGGGGTCGGGTTCCGGAGCCAGGGGTTCGCGGTGGCGAAAAGGGGGGAGGGGGGGGGTCGAATTTGGTGGCCAAAAAGGGGGAGGGGGGGGGGTCGGACCTCCCCCGTTTTGAAAGGGGGGGGGGGTCCCCGACGACGGACCGGGAAAGGGGGGGAGGGGGGGGGTCCCCAACGACGGACCGGGAAAGGGGGGGAGAAGCGGGGGGGTTTCCAACGACGGATCGGGGAAAGGAGGAGGGGGGGGTGCCCCCCCCCCCCGAAATGGAACGAATTACAACCGACTAGTCCCAATTCCAACCGTTCGGAGCGAATTGCAACCAGAAAAGAGACCAATTCCAACCACAAATGAAACCAATTCCAACCCAACCAAAAATGAGACCAATTCCAACCACGGATGGGATCTTCGGAATTCCTCCGGATCCTTTCGAATTCTTCGGCATTTCTCAGGATTCTTTAGGACTCCTTCGGAATTCATCCGGATTCTTTAGGACTCCTTCGGAATTCCTCAGGATTCTTTAGGACTCCTTCGGAATTCTTTAGGACTCCTTCGGAATTCCTTACGATTCCTTCGGATTTCCTTACGATTCCTTCGGAATTCCTTAGGATGCTTTCGGGATTCCTCAGGATGCTTCAGGAATTCCTCAGGATTCCTTTTTGGAATTTCTTAGGATTCCTTTCGGAATTCTTCGGAATTCCTTTGGATTCCTCCTTCGGAATTCCTTTGGATTCCTCCTTCGGAATTCCTTTGGATTCCTCCTTCGGAATTCCTTTTGATTCCTCCGAAAGTTTACGGCTCTTCACATGTTGTACAACC